GAACCCGCTGCTCACACTGGKCAAACTGGGAGGGCGTGGCCGGGGCGGATCCCAACCTTTGGAAGCAGCACACCTGTAGGACCATTCCAGACAGATCCATCCCCATTTCCCAGCAATCCCTAACCCCAAATCCCTCCCCGTGCCCAGGCTGACCTTCAAGCTGTGCCACATGTACTGGAACTGGCCCGGCACCGTGCGGGTGCCCGCTCCCTGCAAATACGCCCACAAATTGGCATTCCTGGTGGGTCAGGTCCTGCACCACGAGCCCAGCGCCCACCTCTGCGAGCAGCTCTTCTTCCTTTAACCTTCCAGGACCTGGGATTGCACTGGGAAAACCAGAATTGCACTGGGAATGCCCGAAATTCTGCTCCCCACCACGGGGATTTTGCTGAGTTTGCTCCCCTGCCAGCAAAATCACGGGGATTTTCCTCAATTCCCCGTCTCGCTGTTGGTTTGTTGTTTTGTTTGTTGGGTTTAGAGGATTTTTGGGATCGTGGCACCATCCCAGAGCTGTGGGTTCTTGGGAATTCTCTCCAAAGGAATATCCCTGCTGCTTTCCCATTAAAAGATTTGAGTTAACGAACCCCAAAGGTGCTGCTGTCCCAACAGCTCCAAAAATTTTGGAGGTTTTTCTCCCCATTTTTCCATCGCTGTGGAGGTTTAAAGTTGTTTTTTTTTTTTTTTCCTGGGATTTTTCGAGCTGCTGTTGAACACAGCAGCTCCAGTTTGGCCGGTTCTCCCGTCCTTGAGGAGTCACTGGTTTTCCAAGGAGAATTCTTTACGGATTCAGGTCGTTACCCCAGGGAAAGGTTGGAAGTTTCACCTATTTCAGGTGCTTTTTTCGTGCCTTATTCRAGGGAAGTTGGAATTCCCTCATTTTTTCTGCTGTAACCAGTGTTTTTTTGGTTTGTTCCAATAAAATTCTTGCTCCCTCTCAGAACGGGGGGTTCGTGCCCCTCATTTTGGGGGTCCCAGGGTGGAGTTGAGGGGGGGTCACAGCCGAGCTGTCACCCCGAGCCCCGGGTTAATCATTGATCCCGCTTTATTTGCCAATCCTGCCGGACTTTGGCAGCCGTGGCCCAGCCTGGAATGGGATTTGGGAACAAAATTTGGCCCTGGGGGTGCTGGGATGGGGGTTTTGGGGTCCCCCTGGCCTGCCTGATCCTCCCTGAGCAGTTTTTATTCCCAGCTCTGCCTTGTCCTTGTCCTTGGTGGCTCCTTGGGCACAGGGACAGGAGCCAGGATGGTTCTGGGTGCCAGGGTTGGTGCCCCCCAAGCTTTTCCAGGGGTTCCATGGGGTTGTGCCCCCTCGGGAAGGGGTTGAGAGGGGGCTCTGTGCTCCCAGGGGTGCTTGGGGAGGGTTTTTGGGGTGCCCTGTGACCCCAAAGGGGGTTGGGTAGGTCCATGTGGTGCCCCTGGGGTGGGTGTTGGGGGATCTGTGGGGTCCCTGTGGTTCTGGGGTGGGTATTGGGGTATCTGTGGGGTCCCTGTGGTTCTGGGGTGGGTGTTTGAGGGGTTCCATGGGGTCCCAATATCCTCGGGGGGATTTCTGGGGTGAGTGTTCGGAGC